ACAAGTAAGATCCCATGGCCATGGCAGTGCATGGTTGGCCATGGCCATTGCCAACAGGGCAGTGCCTGCTGACGGCTGCCCAACTACTCCCTCTGTTCCTGCTCCAAAACTTCTCTGGCAGTGACCACCATGGCTCCCCGAAAAGCTGGGGACCAGGCTGCTTTAGCCAGTTGCTATGTCAACCATGCTCCCTCTGTGTGCAGAAAGCCTGGCACTGGTTGGTATGGCAACCCTCCTCGGAGCACGGAGAGATGCTCAGCGGGGGACAGGCACTTTGGAGGAGGCACCCTGGTTGCGGTGGAGATGAAAACTCTCGTGCCAAAGAGTATGAGAAGAGGGCAGGAAAGACACAGGCTATCATATGTTCATTTGGAAAAGTTTATTTTGCAGTATCAAATGGGTTCTTAGAGGCTAAATATCTCCTTATGCCTATTTATAACTCCATGTGTTTCAGTAGAAGAGGGAAAAAAAATCATGGTAATTTGCTACAAAGGATATCAAGACAACATGGATACATGGATACACTGAAATTAGTGTAATTAAGATACTTGAGAATTACATTTTCTTAACAGAATAATATTTTAGCACTTGACAGAGAAAACATGGTGTGTTTTCAACCTGTCATTTTGTAGGTGTCAGAGAGAAGCCTGAATGAACATTTTATAGGTGAGATGAATCTTTAATATAACAGCAGGTAGACCAAGAAATGTTGGAGAATGATGTTTGGTGAGGTAGAGTACATGTGTGCTTGTGTCTGTGTGTGTGCATACATCTCCTTCACTCAGGCTACTTGTGAACTTTCTAACACCAGTTTCAATGCAAGGTTCTGAACAGGCAGTTTTCTTGTGAAAGACTTTGCAGAACAATGGGATTTGGTGACCTTTTTCCATTCACCGCCAACTAACAAAGTAATATATAGTTTAGATGCATTGGGAAAAATCACACTGTCAACCAGTAAAATATAATAGATAATGTTTTTCTATAATGTGAAAGTTATTGAGCATTTTAGAACATTTTGAATTTTGAGAAAAAAATGTTTAAGTAATTATCTCAGACACCTGAATATATTGCTGGTAAATTCTAACTTCTTAAAGTTAGTCTTTCTGAATATGTTTTTATTAAATTATTTTTTAAATTAACTATAGCTATGAATTAATGTGTTCATGAATCTATTTCTCAGGTCTTTTCTGTGTATAGTATGGGAGCAGATTTACAGCTGTGTTGTCATGCATAAGATTCATGAGTTTGGCTTTGCAACTCACTTTGGGCTTATTGGGAAGGATGCAACTCAATCACCGATGGTTCAAGAATAGCTCTTCATACTACAGCAGGCAATTTTTGAAATTATATGAAAGGGAAAGAAAGGGACCTTTTAATTATATAGGGCATGGATTGCCCTATAACTAAGGCATGGATTATCATACATCTTTTTATCCACTAAGTATTTACTTTTTGAACACAGTTAGCATGTATAATATTTGTGAGTGTATAATTCTTGCTTAAGATGTTTTGAAATCACAGATAATACACACAAAAAGGACAGATATATTATGAACTAATTAAGTTGCATTATAAACCTCTTTACCATTGTATCTAAATTCTTTCTCAAGTATTATCTGCTACTTGAGTGGTTTGTTTGTTTGTTTCAAATATGATTTATGGAGGTCTTTGCAGCTGATGAAATTGTTCACTGCTCTGTGCAACAGTTAGAATTTCCTAAAGCTGGCAGATCTGTGTCCTCTTTGACAGATAACAGCACCTAATGCTGAAGCTGCAGTGGGATTAATCTCTTCTGGCTTTAGACACCTACCCTCTTGACCGCTATATCAGAGCTAGTCACCATAAGCTACCCTGGAGGAATGTGGCCCTAAATAAACTTTTCAGGCTACTTACCTAGGGGCAAAAATTCATTTTCTCATTTTACCTAAAAGATACCTAGTGCGTTTTTTCAAATCCACACTGAAACCATTTTAGCATTTTCCTCTGGAGTGCGGAAAAGGAGAAATAATTTTTCTTTATAGGTACAAAGCCTAGCAAATTAGCTACTCAAAGAATGAATGCTGACATCTTCATAGGTTTTAATAAACATAGTTTCCAGTACTAACTTTGATAGAACTACCCAAAAGAACTGACCTTCCCCACTCATTCTATTGTTGCTTGCACTACCAAGCAGTTTCTCTGCCATTCTTATATGCTTCCCTTCCCTTCCCTTCCCTTCCCTTCCCTTCCCTTCCCATAAGTGTGATGGTAAATAGCCATGATTTGTATTCATTCTTTCTATCCTATCATCTTCAGAGCAGGTAAGTTGGCAAAAGACCACAAATGTACAGTGATCCGTCAAAGTGTATGGAGGCACGCAGCCTTTCTTGGGTAGTCTGTGTCTGTTGTTTGAAGTCCAGAGAGTAGGATGAGGCAGACATAGGATAGTAGACTGGCATTGCAGAAGATACTTCTTAAGCACTTTCCTTAGTAGATAGCCAGTGAAGAACTGCTATTGAACGGATATTTTGCATGTGATATTGTATGATTTTTACACAACTAGTTGAAGTATCGTTACTTTCAATGCATGAAAATGTAGTCGTGTACATTAGCAGATGCATAGATAGCTGCTTTTAAGTTGAGATGAAATAAGAAGTGAAGGTTAATTGAGGAAGTGCTAATAAAATGCGTACCTCAGAGGCAGTATTCTGTTTTTCTTTCAGCCAAGATGCTGGAAGTTCTTGCAGTTTGCTGGATGTTGCTGGATTTGTGTGCAGTTTGTAAACTCCTTTCTCTGTTGTTCCCTACCACAGTAATTTTAGTTAAATAAATAGATAAAATGACAAAATATTACTGCTAGTATTGTTACACATATTTTACATATCTAGTTAATTACTCCATTCATTAGCTGTTAGCATGTATTTTATTTCAAGCCCAAGGAAAAAGGAACTCGCCTAAAATTCTGGGATGTTCAAATGTACTGCTTCAGTTATATTTTAGTGCTATCTGGCTCTGCTTCTTTCAATACTATACATTGCCACCCCATTTCTTTATTTCCGCCTGGCATTGTTTTGTCTGTATATTGTGCATTTATACTTAGTGAGCTTTGGTTTGTATACTGCACATGTGTCTACGGCTTTTAGAATCCCCAGTTTCTTGACATTGATGTGCAAAGCATTATAAAAGCCAAGCACACAGCAAATTTTGAAATGTTAATAGAAACAGGCTTTAATTAAGCCGTAACAGAACTGGTGGAGGATGTTCACTCTAACGCATCAGTGTCAGAAAGCCGTTTGCACGGAACAGGAGGAGAGATGCGCTCCTCCCGATGGGAGCGAGGCAGGCGCGCATGTACCTCCCTCACTGATGAGCAGTGACGAGGAGTCCCACCGAAGGAAGCTTCTGAGAGAAACACTGGAGCATGTTTTCCTGAGCAGTCATGTCAGATTTGAGTTTCAAAAGACGAGTTTCCATTCAGGCAGTTCCACACAGGCTCCTTTCTCCCATCGCTGGGTCCTCTTGTTTTCAAAGGTCTCTTATTAGTTTCCTAAAACGGGAACAGCTTGCCCTTGATAACTGTAATGATTTATTTGGTAAGCAATTAAAATTGATTTCTTAAAGCTATAGCAGCTACCTTGTTAGAATGAATCACTGAATAAAAAATGAAAAGGCTCTGAGTATGAAAGACTATCTAGAGTTAAATTTGATTTCAGTAAGAGGCTTTTGGGGTTGAGGGAAGCAGAGCAAGATCAGTGCCTGAAACTGGGTTGTCTCCACATGAGACCCATTACAAGAATGGACCATTCCCAACAGTTGTACTTAGAAACCCTGAACATCCTTTTCCCAAACAAGCAGCAAGCCTGAGGGCTTTTGTATCTCCAGCTTGTAGAACCAGATGCAAATGCAGGTATCCTGTGGCTTGCACACCTGCTGCTAAATATTTAAATGTGTTTGGAGATCACATAAATTTCTCAGTGTTTTGTGAAGAGTTTCATGAATAGTTTTATTGTTTAAAGCATTTCTGTAAATTGAAAATCAGAGTTTTAATGGCCTGTACTTAGTCTCTTTTTTTTTTTTAATGTTAAATACAGCAATATTATTAGACCTGAAAGCAATGTTTTATTTGACTTTAAACATTTATTTCCATATACAATAAAGTATTTTTTTTCAGTTGCTTTCTTCTTTTATTTCCTGCATAAAAATAGGCTTCCTAAAAATTGAAGTGTTCTTCCACACTTTGAAAGTTATGAGAGAAAGAAAACATAAAGGTTTTTCTTTTCAAAAAAAGAAATTTTGCTATTTCATGTGATTTTCTTTTCAGTTTTGCTGGCACTTAACTTTGAAATGTTCCCATACAGTTTTATATATTTGTATAATAGCATGCAGCTAACAAATGAGGCATATTATCTAAGGCTTCTAGGGTGTTTCAATGCAGCGTTGTTATGACATGACCAATGCAAGTTAACAAATTCCATAATGAAAGGAAGATTTTCAAACCTTATCTTTTAGGCGTCTATATTCATATCTAGGATCTCAACTTTCAGTTTTTCACAGCTGCTATAGATCTTTACCGGCAAAATTATGAAAACGAAACATTGACATTAGTATGTGTTATATGTAGCTTGTTGATGAGAAAATCTTTGTTACTGCAAGATGTGTTCTCATGCAGACACATGTATAAGTGAAGTTTTAGCAGCTTATTTTTCAGATATGGTTTAGAACATTGCTTTAAAACACTTCCCATGTTTTTTCAGTTCCTCTATCAGTTTTGAAAGTATTTACAGTATTTACCTATGCTGTTGTTTATTATTCCACAGACATCATTATTTCAGGTAATTTTCAGAAGGATTACATGAAAGAAAAGGAGGACAAAAGATACCAATAGTAGTTGTATTTCTTAAGATTTTGATTTTTTTTTTTTTTAATTACTAACAGGAAATTAAGCTAATGACAGGAAAAAAAATATTTTTCTAGTTATGGCAAGTATGATTGACTGTTGTGCTTCTATTTTTTCTCACCAGGATTACACTTTGACTATGTATTTTCAACAGTACTGGAGAGACAAGAGACTGGCATATGCTGGCATACCTCTCAACCTCACACTTGATAATCGAGTGGCAGATCAACTCTGGGTGCCTGACACTTACTTCTTAAATGACAAGAAATCATTTGTGCATGGCGTTACTGTGAAGAATCGAATGATTCGCCTTCATCCAGATGGAACGGTGCTTTATGGCCTCAGGTCTGTACTTTCATGATGAAGATTTCATAGCTATTGTTATGTATTGTTGATATTTGTTTCCTGGTACAAGGTTATTACAAACAGTGTGCAGCATATTATGTAACCTTCCCTGCAACTCTGAAAGATGCCCGTAGAAAATAAATGACACAGTCAATGTTTCTTAATTTTGCCAGAAGCATCTTCAGTCAGGTTTTATCTGTTTATGTAGAGTCACCATATCTGGAAAGCCCAGTGGCTATAGGAAGCAGAAAGGCAAGCATTAATTGTAAACCTGAAAATTTTGTTCGAAATACAGGCAGTAAGATTGAACATGGGCACATATGTTGCCTCTTGACATTACTTCAGTCTATAAAGAAAAAGAAAACCACAAACAGTCCTGGTTACATGGAGTCAGCCACTGTTAGGACCATGAGTCTGTGTACATTGAGTGATTTTTTCAAACAGGGATCAACACTTCAATGTTTTACATTTCAAACAAAGCTACAAAGTGGCCTTGCGCTGACCTGTGCTATACCTGTTTTAGGCTTGGCCTGTGTTTTCTTTGGTTTTGATTGTAGCTTTTACGGTTAGTAATGCAGAAAAATCCCTCCCTTAAGACATATAATTACACAAGCAAAAACTTACTGAAAGGCTTGGTAGTATCAAAAAGTTCCTTTATTTGGACAGGTTTTTCTGTATGGTACAGTGATTTAAACTATCCCAGCAAAACAAGTCTTTGCCAATGTAAACTTCATTTCCATCATAGGAAGTTTCTTGTGTTTTTACTTACAGGATAGAGTCCCTAGTTTAAATATGAATAAGATCTGAAATGTGGTACAGATGGATTAGACTTATAATATTATTTTACCTGCTTTTGTTTTTTATCAACAGGTGAACTTTTAATCTGAGATGAGTCTTGGTCCATTACCTCTTTAACTCCTGTTAGATATCATGTATGGGCTATAGCTGGATGAATCTTTTTAGACAAAATAAAAATGGACTCAGCCTGTTAAGAAGTTTCAAGTAAACAGGATGTTCAAAAAACATTCAGAATTAATTTAAGCAAAAGTAGGCTTTCATGTTGCATAATTTGTACCCAATATTGAACACTGCAGGTTTAGGATTCTTTCCACAAGTAGTTAAATATAAAAAAAAAAACGATGTAAGATGTTGTTGTTTCCTGTACTCTAAAGAACCATCCCCAACAGCAATGTAATAGAAAAGTGATGGAGATTAGAACTCTTGTGATCATAATAATGAATAAAAATCTCTCTGCCACACTCTAAAAATATTTGGAGTCATTCAGGTGAGGATTATCTGTCATAAAATACCATATTTGAATAAGTTATCTTCCTCTTCTGTAGAATGAAAATGTCCACAAGCAGATTTCATTTCACTTGATAGTATTCACTTGGCAGGAATTGCACCAGTAGCTCATGTATATCAGCCTTCTTTCCATTCCCTTTCCTCTGAAAACGTTTGATATTCATGGTCAGATTTTGCTGTGTGTGAAATAGCTAAGTTACTTAACGAAAATTATTGTCCAAAATTAAATTTTGGCAAAATATAAGGCACTGTGATCACAGGGAAGAAAATGTCTAACCTTTATCTCTTTTGATCTAAGGACTTCAGCTTAGTGTTGCTCTGCCACTGGCCTAACTTCTTGTATTGTGGTTTGGGAGCATCCTGGTGGCCTCGGTCTCAAGCTGCTGTCTGGAGACAATGATTCATCCTGTGGGCTGAGACCAGAACTTGGAATTTTATGTGCCACAAAACGCAAGGTTGCTGAGAATAATAGGGGAAATTTGGAGTGTTGCAACCAATTATAGGATATCTATGGAGCAAAGCAGTTTCTCAAAAATATATAACAAAACAGATCCACAGGCCACACTGGTTCTGTGTTTTCTTCTGAACAATTAATTTATCTTGCTTCTGAAGTACTTGACCTTCAGTTATCCAACTTTCATCTCTGTTCAGAGAAAGCAGTTTGCTACTGCAGTAGAGTCCATGAAGATGGGGGAATGGAACTGTAGCTTTTTGAAGTTCAACTCATTTCTGGGGAACTTTTTTTCTCTGGGTATCATACTAACTTTGTCCCACCTTGTTCAGAACAATATGCAAACATAAGATTATACAACAGTTTCTTCCATAATACACCAAAACAGAAATAAAGCACTATAGAATGACTGGAGATCAAAAGTAGTCTTTCCAACTGCTTGTATACTTCCCGTATATAGACTTCTTGTTTTCAGGCAGTGCAATGTTAAATGTTATACATAGAGTGGAGGAATGTATTTATTTCATCTGGAAGGACTCAAGTAGTTATCACCCATGTGATATGTGCATGATTGATGTTTGCAAGGTAAAAAGGTTAATTGTGATTGGTCAGACAATGCAAATAGATTTACTTATGTTCTTTTTTTGGATGAATGTATTTCCAAGTCAAGATGAAAAGAAGATCAAATTAGCCATCAGGACTGTAACCCAGTCCCATAAAAAGTATTTATATTACCTAGACTGATTTATATTGTAAATTTTGGGGGTACAGAGGACATTCTGTCAGTAGAACATTCTTCTCCCAGTGTAGTGTGGATGTGGTCCCTGCACAATATATCAGTATAATTGAAGGTGATCAGTCCAGTAATAAAGCAGCAGGGAAAGATAAGAGAAACTATATCCAGAGGACAGATAACTGGAATAGGGAACTCTAATCAATTTAAAATATTTCTTTTATTTATCGCTTTGATGCAAAATGTACATGTATCTGTGCACAACTTTATCTTTCTCTGGCTTGTAATTGTTTCTCTGTCACTGCTGTGATGATGACTTCTTGAAACCTCATTGTCCCACTGTGTCAGGCAGCATCCCATCCCATAAAAAATAAAACTGTTCTTCTTGGTAGCATGCACAAGCTTGAGCAATTAACATTTGCTTTTGGTGAACATTTGTGCAATTTAAATTTGGTTGCTTAAAAGTTCATTCAGAAGGGACCTCTGAGCACTCAACTTACTTTGCATAAATGTGGTAAATCTCTTTCTGTCTATATCTAGCTGTATCTTTTTTGTTTGTTTGTTTATTTGTATGGATTTTACTGGATATTTATGACATTAAAAACTTACATTTTGTTGTAGCGTATAAAGGTACTTGAGCAAGAACGTGCAGTTTCTTGTATAGGCCCAGAGCATCTCCCAGCAGGAAGCTGGAGATGGATTGACCTGAAATATTCTCCTGTTATACAATACTTGGTACCTGAAAGCTTGTGGGACTTATATAAAGGTGTTCAGAGAGTGCCTAGAGTGTGCATCAGTGACAGATCATGCTATAGGTGTGTCTGGGACAAAAATCCAGAGTGTGCCTTTCCTCCTGTCTACTGGTAGGAACACAAATGAGAAAAATATGCTGAGTAACAGATCCTTGAGCTTTTTCCTCTCCTGACCCATCCATTGCCATTGTGCTCATACACAACTGTCTCTCCCTGTGCAAATAAATTAGAATATTTTTTTGCAAAAGCGCCTTTGACAGTCATAGAACTTCTGTTGTCCTATGAGATAGTTGTAACGGATATTACAACTGCCTTACCTTGGATTTTATGTGAAGTTATTCACTTAAATAAACCGTTCGCTAAGGATAAGCATTCTTTCCTTCATTTTCTTGGAGAATCAGTTAAGGCATACATAATGAAAACAGGTGTTTTTTTGTTGTTGTTGTTTTTTAGTGTGTAAGAGTTGAGGAAAAGCACCTACTTCTCTTCCCTTGAAATTCTACCCTTGAATTTTAAACTAGTATACCAAATTCATGTAAAAATGCATAGTATAAAAATGCAGGATCATCAGTAATGAAATGGTTTGCAAATTCATCATTAGTGTGCTAGATTGCCTGCACTGGAAATAAAAAATAAAAATAAAAAGCAAAAATATATCGTTGGGGGAAAGTTTAGAATTCAATATGGTACTTCATTACAAAATCCCTTTTAATTTACTTTCGAAAACTAGAGAAATAAACTCAACTTTAAAACAAATCATTTTGCTGGACTTGCAACAGTTTTTCAACATTTCATTTTCTTTCCTCCATCTGCCACAGAACAGTAATTCACACAGCTCTAATAATTCTGACATCTGTAGCAGACTTTTATCACTTCATATTTTCTAATATAAAGTCATATTCTTTAATTTCAGCAAAGGTTTTTGTAATATTTGCATATGCAGATAGGTCAAGTCACAAAGGGACTTCTTGTGTAAGTGTAAGTCACAGTGAGTTCTGTTGAAGTCAGTGTAGCTGCTGCTCAGTGTAAAAGTATGGACCAGATTCTCAATTACAAAAAAAAAAAAAAAAAAAAAAAAAGAAACAGGATTACTGGCTTTATAGGCTTTATAGTAATTCTATATCATGTTTGTGTTTCAGAATCACAACCACTGCAGCTTGTATGATGGACTTGAGAAGATACCCACTAGATGAACAGAACTGTACTCTGGAAATTGAAAGCTGTATGTATATGAGAAGATGAATGTAATACCTAGTTCAGATGCAGGGTGGTTTTCCTTTTGTACAACTGTAGAATATTTACACTGGAGACTGTAACCACTATATGAATCACATAATTATCACCCATTAGATTTTTCGTTTGCTTATTTGACCTTCTTTAATACATAAAGTGTCATCCATTTCTACATGGATAGATCTCTCCTAGGAAAACAGTTTTAGGACAGAATGAAGCTGTTACTCGTTCTAGCCTGAGTTAGCAGGGGCAGTGACTGGATGCTTATCTTCAACACAAGAATGAATGTTCATATTTTAATCAGATTAAATTTAAAGAGGGCAAACACTATGATATCATCTTCTTTCAGTGTGCTTTTTTATGCACAGATGGTCTTGCCGCAGGACCCCCTGGGCTCTCAGATCAGCCCCATTTGTGGTTTGTAGTTCTGTTCCATGAAAAAACAGATTTTCTCTTCCACCTAGTCATGTTCTAGGACTGCAATATTCAGATGTATATTTCTGCTTCAAGAGCTCCTACTCCATTTCTGCTACTGGCTGGAGATTGTGTGCTAATACTCTATAATCAGCTGGAGTCCTCCACTGCAGAAGCTAACGTGACTCACACTCTTCAGTGTGAGTGGAAAAGATCTGCCCTAACTATGTTTGTCTGTATTTATAGAATAATCCACATTTTTCTGATGATTATTGGTGTCAATATACACTTCGTATCAGTGCTAGATGTGTTGAATGTCTTAAATCAGACTAATATATGATTTTGCAGGTAGCAGTCTGTAATCTCTGAAATTGGTAATGGGTGGCAATTTCTATCTCGTAGGGGCTGTAGTCCTAGTATGAATTTAATGGGGATGATACAAAAAAAAAATCAACCAAACAAAACAAAACCAATAGTATTGTGTCTCAAATTCCTGTGTAGACTGTAATGGAGCAGCTCTTCAGGAGAGCTTCTAACAGGCATACAGAACAAAAATTCATACACCACTCCAGCTGTTCTTAATCTTCTCATTGCCACAAATGACAAACCATGTATGCTGGTTTGAAGCTCATCCCAGTCCACTGTTTTTTCTCACTTACTTTCCTGCTTTGCCTGCAGATGGCTACACAACTGACGACATAGAGTTCTACTGGAGAGGTGGGGATAATGCAGTCACTGGTGTGGAAAGGATTGAGCTTCCTCAGTTCTCCATTGTGGAATACAGACTGGTGTCGAAGAATGTTGTCTTTGCCACAGGCAAGTAATATCATTTCCCTAGTTGGTGTTTTATTTCTTTCTGTATGGCAATTATTGTTTTACTAATCATTATTATGTATAGTCTTTGTCCTGTGTTCTGTGCATGGCTAAAGAGATGACTTGGTAAAGCCCAGAGGCAGGAGTCCATGAAACAGTATTTCTTGTTTCATTTTTCTTTTGTGTGTGTATGTGCATGTGTCATACTTAACCATACACCTAAATATACGTGATCTAAATAAATATAAAGTCATTCATGTCTGAGTCACCAGTTTAACTAATGTAGCCTACAGGGTTACTGATCATACAGAAGTATGTTATGGCAAACTAGGTCAGAAAGGCACAGTTTTTATGCGCACCTCCCTACAGCTTTTCTGTACGTCTTTTGTTTTGTTCTTGTACAGTGAATGTGGTGCCATTTATATCTTGATTTTCACTGATGGGTATATGGTAGTGTATATATAACCGGTGCTATTGTGATCATTGTTAAGATTCTAAAGTTAAATCCCTAGTTTTAAATCCCTAGTTTAAATCCCCACTGATTTAGATGTTTGATTTTAGACACCAGCCTAGGAAAATATTGCTATGTGTGAAAAGACCAAAGCAACTCAGAAAGCCCTCAGCAAGTGTGGGGCGACTATTGGGACCTCCAGATTTTCAGTCCTCTTCAGACCACGGAGGTGTTCTGTTCTGTCTGTCCCAGCGCACTCGAACAAATGAAGCACAGCTCTATCATGTTTGTAAGCATCACTTCACCCACTCTATGGACACAGCATCTGTTTCAAAGTACACAGAAACACGAGTTATATTTCAGAACAAAATGTAAATATTGCTGGGATTGAAATTAATATGAGGGGTTTTGCCAACTTCTGCTGTTTTTGTATATCACTGTGAAATGTGAGTTGTTTTTTTTTTTTTTTTTTTTTTTTTTTTTAAAGAGAAACAGATACTCTAATCCTATATTCTGCAGCCAGGGTTTATCTGCACTTGCACAGGACTGGATATGTAGGATGACCCTTTTGGCCAACAATGACAATACAGAGAACTTTGTATTTGGGAAGTCCAAAGCCACCACCTTTCACTTCAGTGTGAAATATTTCCATAAAGATGTGATGTAGTAATTTGGCGATTGAAAAGATTTATTAAATTCAGGAAGTCCAAAGAGCTGTGAGACAAATATGATAGAGAATGAAGACTAGGGGTAGAAATGCATGTAAATGACCAAATATTCAGAATCATAACAGTTCTTTCCAATAAGTTTGTGAAGGGAATAAAAAACCCACATGCTTCAGGGTTTAAGGCAGCTTGATGTTAAGGAGCAGGATGAGGCAGTTGTGAAGAACAGATTATCCCATGTTTTTTATATTGTTTTCTGAAGCGTATAATTTTTGTCATCGATAAAGACGTGATACTGCATCTACTCTTGTTTTGGTTTAGGACATGATGAAAATGCTTCATTAATTATGAACTTTTCTGACAAATATTTCCATTGAAAGAAATCAGCACATTTGTTTCTCAGAAACTCATGCCTAATTATGATGCTAAATCTGAAACTTTCCAGTGAATCTGACAGATAAAGTCAGCACACTTTTTTTTCAATTTTCTTCTCAAGACACATATTCCTTATATTCCTGATAATTAGAGCCAGTTTGAACATTTTTGTGGAAAATAAGTCAGGCAGTGGGTTTTTTTGTCTTTGAGGTTATTAAAGCCTCATGAGAAGATACTAGATTCTTTCCACACAATATCTCAGTATCAATATCTCAATCTCAATATTTCCGGGATTTCAGTGCTAGTGTGATTTGATAGTGTAAAACTAAACAAGGACTTTAGAGTCGTGCCCTAAACAGCTTTTGGAGTAGTTATTTCTCCTATCCTCCATGAAGGAACAGTGCCATATAACCTTGTGTAACTTATGCAAATTGAATAATCTGTTCCCATAGTTACTACTAAGCAGCAAGAGTAAGCATGAGAAAAACCCCATAGATAATGACATAAACCTGTGAGGGGATGCAAGAATATTGAAGGAACTGCAAGCATGTTGAAGTATGTCATTGGAGTTAAAAATAATCTTAAAAAAAAAAAAAAATTCAGCATAGACAAGTGCAAAGTACAACTATTCAATTAGTTATTCCTGTCCAAATTCAAACTGGGGAATACCTGGTTAGACCAGAGTCCTGTGCGTAGTAATTTAGGGGTTACTGTTGATCTCAGACTGCACATGAGCCCGTACAAAATTGGTAAGAATGACTGGAAGTCTAGAAAATATAATCCATGATATTAAAAGAGATCTAGATATGGTTGTGTAGTTTGAAAAAAGAGAGTACTTAATAAGAATTAAATAAGTTACAAGGAGTAACATGTTCTCTTAAGGAGTAACTTGTTCTCTTTATCCATGATTAAAAGAAGAAAAAGTAGTATATAAATAAGTGAATAAGAAAGATTTTGTTTGACTATCCTAAGCTGAAGGCTATAGAGGCTACAATAAGACATCCCAAATGGCATTAGACACCTCTGTACAGGCAATTGAATCACATCCTTGGAATCAGCTGGCTATAAGTCTAGCTCTCCATGGTTTATACTGAGAGTTTATGCACTATAAGTGTGGAATTATCTACATGAAAATGCCTGAAATGTAATGCCTAACTTGTGAGCTGAATATGTGTCCTAAAGATTTGTTATCCAGGAATGCTAAGAAACTGAACATGAATGAAGATATATAACACACCTAAAAGCTTCAAGATGCATAGCAGTCAGAGACAGATTAACAACTTGTTGATAGGAGGAAGGTAATCTTAAAAGATTTGAAAATTAATTATTTGGCAAATTCTGAAAGATCAATCTGTAAAGTACATTTCCAATTAGTTGAAGAACCTTCCCAGAAGAAAAGATTAAAATAAGAATTCTGTAACTGACCAATTCTCTTATCTTGGTTCATACTTGCATAAAACAGCAAGAGACTAATTTAGCCTTGGAGCTAGATGTTTCAGCTTGCTAGCGTTTAATGAAATTGAAACAGAAACAAGTAATTACTTTTTACCAAGTGCTCAAACATATGAAGGAGGAATATTTTGAGCTCAGTTATTGATTATTTGTTTTCATGTCTTCATTTTCAATACTGTTGCTAGACTTAAATACTCCAGGCCAAATTCTGTTATTCCTCTACTCTTTAAATTAGCCCATGGACATAAACATGTTATGTGAGATGAGAGAAAAGGTAACAAATCTGGTCGCTGAGCAGAAACACTTCTTTATGCAAAAAAATAAATAAATAAATAAAAATAAAAAATGGTGGAATGTTAGCAGCTACAATTTCCTTGTAATTAATCTCTAAATGTACTTAGCTTTAATTGACAAATCATTATAAAAGCATAATCAGACAAGTAACATTGTAATTGTTGAGTTCACCAAGAATTCTATTTTTATTAAATAAATTACACAAGATGGTTCCTTCTTACATAAATGAAGATCAGGGCTTACAATTTTTGTTCCATGCAGGTTAGGACCCATACTGTTCCCAGAGCTTTAGTCTTCCAGATGAGGAGAGGAGCTTCACAGTAATGTTCTTTCTTTCAATTCTTTTTTTTTTTTAACCCATAGATTCCTATGTACTGTTAGCTGGAAGTAAGATAAGATAGCAGGGACTCCAGACTGCAGGGAGGGGCAATAGGTCATCCGTGAAAGCATAAAAGTAATACAGGTGAAAATTACACAAACTTCCTTAGTCTCAAGGAGAGCTACATAAAGGAGAACCCTGTTATCTGAAAATGAAGCTACCAGTTCATGTTTCAATCTCATCTTGAACTATACAAAGACCAAATTATTTTGCAATTTCCTTAGATCCAGACCTTCCAGTAAATTTTGAGCTTGGAAAATAACCACACAAAAAAAGGATGATGTTCTGTATTTACTTTGATGAAACTGAACAAAACGTCAACTCCATTAAGCAGCTGTGATGCAGATAAGACTGTTGGTTAGACTACCCAGGAGCCGTAAACCCCCAGAACCTACCCTGAGACTTGCATGGCTGGGATTCATTTTGGTCAGATTTAAGGTCAATATAATTAATTTCAGTGTCTGGATATGAATTAGGTGTCTAAGCTCCTGTTACAGTTGATGGGAATCTAGTCAATGGGACTACAGTCAGTGGATTCTGGAGACAAAATCAGTCCAAAGGAGCTTATTTTAGGAGGCAGTGGGATAATTCTTCAGGTTTCATTTACTAGATCAACTAGATGAACTTACTCTCCTGTAAATGTAATTGAAGCTTAGACACCTAGGTAACATTTGTGCAGCTCAAGTCAGTCGCTTTATCAACTGCAGTTTGAGATGACATAGGGCATCCCTTGTAATCTCAATCTGCTGATCAATACGATTTTTTTGTTTTGTAGGGGCTATGTTGTATCTACCAAATGCATGCTGGTGTTTGAGATGTCAAAGGGCATTTCAAAAGGCCCAGGGCACCTTCAGATTTGCAAATGCATGTCTGTATTACAGTCCAACTCCAACACTGCAGTGGATAGGCAAACAGCACTGACAACCCTGGCCCTAGGTATGGTTCTTAGGCTTTTGTCTTGTAGCATCAGGACAAAGAACCTAGGGCTCAAAACAACCTTATGTTGACCTTTCTGGTCTTGAAACAATCTGTCTGGTGACACTGCCTTTAAGGCTGAGTCCTACTAGTTTCACTAATTGTCTTATCTCATTAGACAAAGATAAGGCGCTTCATAGGTGAAGCATTCAAGATAAATAAATGAAGTTTTCTCTGTTACACTGTCTCAAATAAGGATTTCATTACTGAATATTACTGACATACACGACACATTACTTCTTTCCTGCCTCCTCCAGCTGCACCATTTTCCTTGCTTTATCATTAGCAGAGTGCTCTCCCTCTTCTTTCTCCGAGGTACCCCAATGTACCAAGGGTCCTTAGCACTGAAACGGACCAAGATGAGCCTTGAGTGAATCCTTCAGATAATATATCAGAAAATCAGTATTTTATGAGAGATATTCCAGTCGTCACCTCTGTCAATGATGTTCCACAGATGCCCAGACCTGGACAGGACTTATGGAAGGAACAGATTTGTAGAGAATCCTTTACATTGGTAGTGTATTTTATGAAGTAATTTTCCTCAGCAGAACTTTATGAAGATTTCTGTCTGATGCACTACTCTTATTGCAGAAAGGTGATTAGGTCTGCTACATATTTAATGTATTTCATGATGGCAGAATATGTTCCTGTTTTATTCACATAGTCTGCAGACAAAAGGCCATGAAAACCATCTCATGAGAAAACTCAATGAAAAAATTAGGCTTTGTTAGCAGAAATAGCAGGCATAGTTTGAAATAAAAAAGTTGTCCTTGGAATGAAACATTGCTCATTAAAAAACTAAGGTGTTAAGCAGAAGCCTAAATGATTTTATGTATTTATTTATATATATATTTTTTTTCTGAAAACCATGTAGAGTGCTTTAGACAACATAAAACCTTGGTCTAGTTTTGTATCAGATTTATGTGGCAATGGTTTTGGTAGTAGGGGGGCTGCAGAGGTGGCCTCTGTGAGCAGAGCCCAGCAGCTGCCCCATGTCAGATCAGAGCCAGCTCCAGCTGGCTCCAAAAGGGACCGCTACTGGCCAGAGCCGAGCCAGAGAGCGATGCTGGGTGGGCCTCTGGGAGAGCAGATGTAAGGAAAAAACTGCTGGGCAGCAACAGCTGGGAAAGAGGAGTGAGGAAACGTGAGAGAAGCAGCCCTGCAGCCCCCAAGGTCAGTGTAGCAGGAGGGCAGAAGGTGCTCCAGGCAGGCAGCAGAAGTTCCCCTGCAGCCTGTGGAGAGGCCCCTGGTGGAGCAGGCTGTCCCCCTGCAGCCCATGGGTCCCACATGGAGCAGATCTCCACGCTGCAGCCCCCCCATGGGTGGAGGAGCCCCCGGTGGAGCAGGTGGATGTGGCCTGGAGGAGGCTGCGGCCCATGGAGAGCCCCCGCAGGAGCAGGCCCCGGGCCGGAGCTGCAGCCCGTGGAGAGGAGCCCACACAGGAGCAGGGGTCTGGGGGGAGCTGCTGCCCACCTGTGGGGGACCCGTGCTGGGGCAGTTTGCTCCTGGGGGATGGACCCCGTGGTACGGAGCCATGTGGGAGCAGTGCTTGAAGAGCTGCTGCCTGTGGGCAGCCCTCGCAGGCTCAGTTTGGGAAGGACGGCATCCCGTGGGAGGGACCCCACGTGGAGTAGGGGCAACGAGTGACCATGAAGGAGCTGTGGAGATGAAGCAACAGGGCCTGACCGCAGCCCCCATTCCCTGTTCCCCTGTGCCGCTCAGGGGAGGAGGTAGGAGAGGGTGGATGGGGGGAACGTGTTTGTAGCTTGCTTTTAGTTTCTCAGTGTTCCAGCCTGATAATAATAGGCAGTAAGTGATATTAATCTCCCTATGCGGATTGTGTTTTGCCTGTAACAATAACTGTTAAGTGATCTCCCTGTCCTTATCTCAACCCTTGATTTTTTTTTTCCATCATATTTTCTCCCCTTTTTCCGCTGGGAAGGGGAAATAAGAGTGGTTGGGGCAGAGTTCAGCTGCCTAGCTGGGTAAAACCACCGCAGGTTTCCATGCTGGAATATGGTCTTCTGACTGTATCTATATTCATGTATTTGTGAAACTAGACATTTCATACAGGAAATGTATGTATCAGTACATAGTACATAGTACTGATTTAAATATTCACAACAACTATATATACCTACCAGACTTTATTTATTTATTTATTTATTTATTATTATTTATTTATTTATTTTGGTGACAGTGCTTCTGAAATTGACAAAGCAGTTAAGGGTAGCTACCTAAAGTTTGATACTCCCTAGGTGTTTCTGCTACCTGGAAACTTTGTAGCATTTTTACTGTCATATGACTAAAAGTTTACCTGTTTACACAAAGAGAAATCTACAGTTTTCTGTTCCTTCTCTTGTTTTCTCTCTCAGAAAATCCATCATTCAGAGAATCACAGAATGATTTGGGTTGGTAAGGATCTTAAAAACCATCTAATTCCACCCTCCCTGCCATGGGCAGAGACACCTCCCACTATATACGGTTGCTGAAAGCCCCATCCAGCCTGGCCTTGAACACCTCCAGGGATGGGGCAGCCACAGCTTCTCTGGGCAGCCTGTGCCAGTGCCTCACCACCCTCTGAGGGAAGAATTTCTTTCTAATAATCTTTCTAATCTAAATCTGAGCTTTTTAAGTTTAAAACCATTACCCCTTTGTCCTGTCACTATGCTCCCATGCAAAGAGCCCCTCCCCAGCTTTCCTGTAGGCAATCTTTAAGCACTGGGAGTCCACTATAAGGTCTAGCCAGAGCCTTCTGTTTTCTGGACTAAATAACTCCAAATCTCTCAGCTGTGCTTCTAAGTAGGAGAGGTACTTCAGGTCTCTTATCATCCTCATGGCCCTCCTCTGGACCTGGTCAAGCCTGGTCCAACCAGCCTTTCTTGTGCTGGGGGCCCCAGAGCTGAAGTCTGTACTCCAGGTGGGGTCTCATGGAGCGGAGTAGAGGGGGATAATCACTTCCCTTGACCCGGTGGCTATTCTTATGTGGTTTCCTATATAAGAGTATATTAACATATAATACTTATATTTGTATTTATTTCTAGATGTTATCTTTTACATCTTGCACCCAGTTGCATCAGAATGGGCAGGTTGTGCTCTAATACCAATAACTGTGCCTTTGTATGTACGGAAGTGTTTTTTCTCATGTTGACTATAAATAGAGCTTTTAGACCAGCTATTAGAAGTATCATACCTAAGATTTGTAATGGAACCACTGAAATCATGGAGCTGATGTTGTGTGAATGTGTGAATCTTTCTTGTATAACGGTACTCAGATTTAATCCTATTTGCATTTGGTGAAAAAAAGTCACTGTTGTTTCTTTTTCAGTATTTGAGCACTCTAAATATATTAAGTATATTTAGTAAGGTTTCCAATTTTGAAATACACCGGTTTGAAGTTAAAATACGTGTTTAAAAACAAAAAACAAACAAACAAAAACAAACAAAAAAACACCTGTCATTGAGATTATCATTATTTTATTGTTTGCTGCAACTGAAACAGTATATGAATCCTATGTATATAATGTATGTATATACATATGCAATCTTCATTTTTTTGCTTAAAATATTTTGAGAAGAAAAATTCTATTCAGTTCTAGTTGATGTTAGAGGCCTTTGGATATGATCAGAAGGCTTTTCTTCACCTGGATTCATTACAATTATATTTTTGACGCCACAGGTAGCATGTTTCTCATAGTTCAAGTGTGATTAAGAAGTGCCATATCAAAAACAATTCTACGAAAATAAAAAACTATGCACATTTAAGACAGAATTCTACTAATCCTTTCAGTATAAATACTATACATAAAATTGTGTATTGGGATAAGCATTTTACATGGAGACCTAAGCATCTGTTTTTGAAAACTAACCAGTGCTTATCCATCTGTTCAATAATTTAGAATAACTTAATCTCTTTTATTCCCAAATACAAATTACATGGATATCACTATATTCCCTGCAAGGTTTCCTCTAATACAAACCAGTAATACAGTGAACGCGTTTTCCCTACTGTTCTGCAGATGTCATAGTACCCCATAAAATGTGCATGCTTTAGTTTCTACGGAGACTGAAGACAAGTATCTGCAAGTGTCTCTGCTTCAGTATAAATAACATTGTTTTTCCTTCCCTTTTCATAGGTGCCTATCCAAGACTCTCACTGAGCTTCAGGTTGAAGAGAAATATTGGATACTTTATTCTTCAAACTTACATGCCCTCCATACTGATTACCATTTTATCATGGGTGTCATTCTGGATCAATTATGATGCATCAGCAGCAAGAGTTGCCCTTGGTATGTGCTATGAATGAGTGGGACATTAAAATGTCAGAATGAATGTAGCCTTTGCAGGTTGTTAAAGACTTCAGCGTGATGTCAGTGTTTTGATATTCCAAAATCATTTACGTCAAAATCATGTCATTCAGTATTGCCTCAAAAGTGGTAAGTTTTCCCCACATGCAAGAATGTAGCTACCACTAAATCTCTGATATGAGCTGCTCGTATGGGTCCCAGACTTGTTTTCATCAAATTTAATGTTGTTGTTGCCATTAGTTTCAGCAAGGGGACCAGCTCCAGAATCATACTCTAAGGGCTTCGGTGTGGGCTTTTTGTTCAGGCCAGTGTGGGAAGACAAGCGTGGCTCCAAGCCTTCACCTGAGGTCTTGGCTGTTTTAACTGACAGTGGCAGGAAGAGACCTCAAGAACCATGTGCTAGTTCAGAGCACAGGGACACGTCAGCTGTAGACCATGACATCCTGAGGGCCATGGCATCCCTCAGAATGCACAGTATGCTATGTGCATTTTTATGACAGCTTATAGTGCCATTTACTTCAGAGTAGAAAAACATGGATTTAGCACAGGGTGGTGATCCTAGTCCAAGACCTTTTCAGATCAAAGAATCCTTTAGATTCTTTGGAGGAGGGGTAGCTTCAAAATATCACACGGGAAGTATTTCATCTGTTACAGAAACGTACTCATGGGTAGCTATACACCAGAAAGTTTAATGGACCCATAAATAATCTTTATGACTACTCCTGCATTTCATCTCACCCCAAATCCTGTCTTCAGCCCTGTTCTTTCCACTAGCATATGCCTTCTTACTCAAAACTTGACACTAAGCCTATGCTATATAACATTTGCTACACTCTCTTCTCTTAAAACAGGAGCATATTCCTTAGCTCGCTTATTTTTCTGATACATACCACAGCAAACCAATACTCCCAGACATGCCTGTATGACTCTGCATCTCTGTACCACTTACCTACCAAGATCCACTATACCAAAGAAGGGTAGCTACAGCTATACCCATGTGCAGTGTCATATTCTAGCATCTTCATCATCCCTGTCATCTGAACATCAGTATCATCATTCCTAGCATCTGAACTTGTGTGACTGAAAATATTGTATACTGGTTGCTGTTACTCTACAGATACAATAATTCTACAGATGCTGTAGATTAACAAGTGCATATGCGTGTAGTATACATGACACAATCTGTCATTACCACTCAGCAGCCAGTGGACATTCAGCAAATTGCAAACAAGTACTAGCTTCACAGGAGGTGGGACATAGAGTCCAAACATCTTTGATGCATTTGTAAATGAACTATTGATACCAAAGACCCACCATGGAGAAATTATAACCAAATGAGAACGATACTTCAAACACATCAGTCAGCATCTAGATATTAAATGCCAGTCAGGACTGCAATGAATAAACGGTTAGACAGAAGTTACCAAACCCGATAACATTGCATGTCCTCCTGTAATGGGCTCACACTTTTTTTTTTCTGTGTTTAGGGGACAGGACTGCCTCATGTGACCTATTTCTGTGTAGCACAAGGGGTCCTGATTTGTCAAGTACCATACTGTGATAACACAAATATTTGAACCAAAGTCAAAGAATACATTCAAAGCAAGCTCAAGAGCCCAGATGTTCTATTTCCAATTGATAGAAAGTCCTTTTGAGAGAATGACAATCCATATAAAAGGTTTTTCTGAGAACACAATTAGTGCCTTGGTGATTATGTCTTGTATCATCTGGTATTTGTATAATAAAGTTCAGTACCATGGGCCTAATCTTGTGTTCCTTTGTGTAGTCCACTCTTATGAGCCTGAAGCTGATAAGAAATGATATTAGAGTTTAAAGACAGTATTGCATCTTTGGACTTAGGTAACTAGCCCTGAAAAGCCTGTTACAGAGGAGAAATAGGCCAGCTTTACCCAGGTCTTTGTTAGAGAAAGGATTCCCTGTGCAATCCTTATAGACAAGGTGACAAGATTTTACTCAGCCTCTGCAGGAAATCTATATTCTCTGAAAGAGCCTGATTAGAGTTCATCCACTTCTATGTTTTTCTCCAGTCCCTGGTCCCTTGCTGCATGCTCTGCCTGTTCTCCAGCCTGTATTGAACCAAGAAGTTCCCTCGACAAAGAGGGTGAAGACTAAACTTGGAGTTCTCTCTTTGCAAAGGCTGTAATCACAAGATTATCACATTTTGATATGATAGGTGTCAGCTGATGCCCTTCCAGCTGTGCTTTAAAACACTTTATTGACCTTCAGAAGAGAGATTTTGGTCCTCCATGAGCGTGGTATTTGCCCGCAGGGCGCCAGGACCTCCCAGGGGCTGTATTTCCTTTAGGTTAGTGGTGGCCACCTTTCTATTCAGTGTGCTTAATCTTCTGGATTACAGCCTGTGAACAGACACCAAAACTGGGGGTATTATAACCCAATCTGGGTTGATGAACCCTTCCCTTATTCAACTAGGCTTTGGTAAGCATCTGTGGGGTGCTACTGAGATGCCAAGGGTGTATTAAAAGAGAATTTTGTGGAATTTCTCATACAAGATTCATATTTATTTTAAGTGATTTTCAGAATTCCTTATGGGTAGCAGGTAATCCTACAAGGAGCAGGTAATCCCATGGGCTGCAAATATGTGATAGTGTAATGTCCTCCAGCCCTCTCATCCTTGTTCGTGTTCTGGCAATGAGGTTTTCTACAGACCTTTTCAACATTTCTTCAAAAATAATTCTGTTGTGCCAATTATTTTCCTCATTTTACTGCAGAGTTGAGTGAGTTACACACAAAGCATTTTTAAAATATGCTTGTGCTGTGTTCTCCATTGTATTTCAAGCCATGAAACACCTGACATCAACACACACTTGTTTCACAGTTTAGAGGAAAAGCACTGAAAACTGCATGACACTGACCTACTAAATATACAAAAAATCTGTTATGGAACCTCATAGGCTACTTCTGCAGTTCCCTGGAGTGGCACTGCTTACACAGGACAGCTTGATTTTGAGTTATATTGTCTCTATTTCTGTCTCTTCAGGTAAAAGAAACTGTGTTTTATAATATACAGGCAATTTTTTTGTTCTTTATTTTTGTTCTGCCAGCATTCTATTGACTACCTATAAACTGATGGTATAATTATGAAATCAGAAAAAATCGTAATGGAAGGAGACCTATTAGAATGGTTTGCCTCTTTTACCAGTGTAGACTTGTCACACAAATCAGTGTTTTCAACCATCTGTGATTTGTGATTCCCATAAAATTTCCAGCAGAGATCAGACCCTGCAGTTTAATGTGAACTCAAGCAGACTGACAATAAATTTGCTTTTCTTACCAGGTTTTCAAAACAATGCTTTGTAATGTATATTCAGGTGTTATGTCCATTCTCAGATAAATAAATGAGGGTTTGACATATCTGATATATATATAGTAGGTACTTTATTAATGTCCAGTAGATTACTATAGAAATGCAGCTCTCCCTTCTTGGCTTTTTTTTTTTTTTTTTTTCCCCTCAAATATGCATACCTGTCTGCAGCTCACTACTTTTCTCACTTCTGTCTAGTCATGTGAAAGTTAGACTACTGATCTGATAGTCATCTCAAATCCCAATTCATGAACTGGCTACATTGTCTTATCCTGAAATAGGTGTCTCAAACAGATGGGATGAACTGCTCTAGAAAGTTGCTTTTCTTTCTCCATCTACTACAGAGGGGCTCTACAGGGCTAACTTCAGCCAACTGTTTAACTATTAAAAATTTAAAACTGGATGATAAAATTCACCATCTATAGAGTTGCTCTTCCTTAATGTGTTCACATGGTTTTATCTATCCAGACCCCTAATTAGTTTCATTACTGTTTGAAAAAAAAAATAATCTCTGTGGTGTTGATGGCTGTGCAGTGCTGGAAGAGCACATCTTTTAATGCTTTGCAGAAAATGTGTCTTTCTGTCGCAGGTCGATTTGGTCTTCCTGGAAGAGATCCTCAGTACAGCTACACTGGCTTCTCTGAAGCAACATTAATTCACTGTGGTGGTGACACGCACCCTTGTTAGCTATTCCCCCCAGTTGTATGAAGGAAATATTCTAACAGAATAATAATGCTTCAAGCTTTAATTTTGCTTTCAATTGCAGTGATGTCACCTGAGAGACTTCTTTTACAAATTTTTAAGCTTCTTCACACTAACAAGGGAAACTTGCCAAAGAGGAAAATAAAATTGAAGCATGATTCGCTTAGGTTTGTAAGATGTGTGCTCTTTTATTTCTTTGTCTAGGAATTACAACTGTGCTGACTATGACAACAATCAACACTCATCTGCGAGAGACTTTGCCTAAAATTCCATATGTTAAAGCCATTGACATGTATCTTATGGGCTGCTTTGTATTTGTCTTCTTGGCCTTACTTGAATACGCCTTTGTCAACTACATTTTCTTTGGAAAAGGTCCCTCAAAGGCAGAAGAAACTCGCGGAAAAAACAGCAAAGGCAAACAACGATCGCTCAAAGTTTGAAGGCAGCCGGGTAGGATTCTTTTATCTATATATAGTCGCTTGTTTCTTTTATTACAAAAATGAACTGTATGAAATTAAAAAACAAATCATGTGTAAAAACATCACCAACCACATCTCCTTTTTGTGGGCAAACTTTGGCATTTTTATATTCAAGGTCCTACATAGAAGAATATATTTAGGTATGCAGAAATTTAAGAGAGTATGATCTGTTTGACAAGAAACTGTTAAGAACAAGAAAACAATTCTAGTGCAGCTAGTTTGGAAATAAAGGCTCAGCTCTACAAAGGCATTTATTTGCTTAAATCAAATGTAATTTAATTTGTTTAAATACCTACACAAGGGAATCCAGCATATTTTTTCTCACTTCCCTTCCAGCAGACACATTTAGAATGGGAGAAAGCAGATAAAGGATTAGTCCTGCCATGCTAATTAATTGGCCAACATAGCAGTACCGCTGTGTGTGGCATTGACATCTGCTGCTGTTGAAGGCCAACATAAAATTATGAGTCCTAGAGAAACTTTCAGACGGGCTTCTGAAGCACAGTATTGGCATGGTCAGTGCTGATTATACTCCATCCTATTTCCTTGCCTTGAGTATTATTTTGTGCAATGAATACTATTTTTTCTCCTTTGAAAGAAAAATTCAAGGTATTCAACAATATGTGATATCAGTGAGCCATGTCAGTTCCAGTAGAACATATTTTCTGGCTAAAATGTTCCCAATGAGGCTTTTTCAGTCGGTTCTGTTGAGTAAGACTGTTTTTTTTCTATCAGCTATAAATTAGAGGAGTTCACAGAGACAAAACTACTACCTGTTTATTAAATACCAATATCTTAAAAGTAATTTTAAGCTGTATTTTATGATTCTAATGATTCTGTCTGCTATGATAGATGTAATGCAGAACTCCACCTAATTATCGACACTCACATCTGTGAAATATTTTTTGAAGCAATCAATTCATTTTTGTCCACTCTGTTATGAAACCAAGACTTCATCACAGTTGGCAGCACTGCTTAGGACTAAGCTAACAAGAAGAATGAATTCCCTTTCCTGTAAAAATAAATAGTTATAATAAGAAGAAAACAAATGGAAGAAAAAAAAAAAAAGAGTATCACACTGAAAGCAATAGAGATTTTAGCTTTAAGCAGGTAACACAGATGTATGCATTAAAGTTCAGATCTCCCAAGGAAAACCATCTGGCGGATCTCATCCATTTAAATGATTTATATAATTCACTACATACCCTATATGACCCCATGCCTGATTGTACTTATATATAGAGATCAGTTGGTCAGCATTGTCAAAAGAAGTGTAGAACCTCAACTAACAAAAAGGTGGTTTTCTTATACCCAGATCATGTCATTTTTATACTCCCCTGATCATACCATATATCAACCATTTTATCTCACTTCTGACTTACGACATTTTATTTTCTTTCTGGACCTTCCTAAGCAAATACTGTGCACTGATATGACTTTTCTGGTGGTTTAATATTGACCATGTATGAACTGAACTTAAGATACTAGCAGTGCACCAGAGCTGAAAGAGCGTGCTGCTTTGTCCCTTGGAATCCCAGATGTGACAGGGAACTCTGTATACTTCATAAAAGTGCACCTACTTATACTCACTGTGAATATTTGCTATTTAAATGCATTTAAGATAAATAATGAAGTACGGTCCCATTCCAGGCTTCAGCTGGTGAAGTCAACAGAGCTTCATTACAGTCAATGATAATACAGAGAAGTAGTGCCAGTGTATGACCAGAACAGGCATTAGGTAGATCAGAAATGTTCCTTTGAAACAAAGATTAGATAAAAAATGCAGATTCAGTGAGTGTAGGATGTCTACTCTCAATTTATCATGTGGTAAACACTTTCAAATCCAAGGTAGAGAATATTGCGCAGAACAGGTCAGAGGTCCTATTGCTTTCAGGATGAGCAGCTCAGTGAAAATCCATCTAAACCACTTTGGACAAAGGGTACCAGGGCTTTCAGAGACCATAGCCCTGAAACAGAAACAAAGCTTTCTCGGTTCTGGATCACTCCCACTGTATACCAACCTGTACAGGCATCCATGTTTATAGTAGGACAGGTGGTCATGACAGAGTTTTTAACACATTTTCCAAGGAAGGCTGTATCTGAAAGCTCTGCAGCCTTGACTTGGACCTCTTCAAGGAGTGGTAAAGAGGCACCAAACCTCTTCTTCTTTGAGTCTTGAAGATTGTTGAATCTGACGGAAATAATGGCTGTTTAGCATTTGCTTGCTTCTTCCTTTAGAGCTGGGACTTGGGCTGGATGTCCTGGGAGAGACTCAAAGATGGAAGGCATAGTGCACAAGTAAGGGAGGCTTAGAGTCTCACTTATGTGAGTTAAATAAAGTTATTGTTTTTATCTTTTCAGTGAGGCTTCAGGCTTTCCATGCAGAAAGGCAAGGTTTCTATTACAAAATATTTCAAATCTCACGTGATTTAGGGCTGACATGCATTTTTAAAGGAAGGTAGAATGTCTAAAAACTGCCAGCCCCTTTTACATCTCCTCACAGTCTTTGGTGACTGTCATAATGTATACTTTTTTCCAAAAAGGTTGAAAAGGTTGAAAAGGTTTCTGGTATAAAACCGGAAAAAGCGATTACTTTTAGTTTGTCTCTAAGCCTACCACTTTGGGTTGATCTTTTTCTGTTTTGTCTTAGTAATTGAATTTGCTTGTATATGAACCATGTGCATGAGTTCCCTGTCATTGATTTAGAGCCCTAGCTCAGGGTACCAGAAAAAGAAAAAAAAAGAGTAAGCAAATAAACCGTATTCCATTTATTGTCCACATCAGATGCTGTAACTTACGGGTGTAGTGACAGAACAATTCTGTGCTATATCAGATCCAGCAATTCAGCCTGAGCTGGAAACCACAGGCTCAGTGTTGGAAGGCAGCACTAGGAGAGCAGAGACAGCACAGCACTGCCTGGAGTTCAGGCTCTGAGCCTGAGCATTGCTCTTGTGATGCCTGAGACTGGCAGTGGTGCTGAGCCGATGCGTCTTACCCAGCAGGTATGGGAGAAGGATGAGGGGAAATGCCAATGTTGTTTTCACTCAGCACTCTCGCCCGTGAAGACCAGCAGCACCAGCATGGAAACTGGTGGTACAGTTTGTGCCTTACATGTGTGATGACTGAGGTCTGGCAAGCAAGCTAGCAGGCTTGGTTATAAACACCCTTAATGTAGCAAAAGGGTTTTTCATGCTTTCCTGGTTTCATTTGATTGTGGAGCAGGAGAATTTTAATAGCAAAAATGTTCTGGGCCACAAAACACACAGATTTGGATATGTTTGTGTTTTATTTGATAACTGCCTTGCTTGGTAACTCTGCTTCTTCACACATGGAGTTGCACTGTGCTGTGTCTGAGGTTGTGGGTCTGGAAAACTGCAACTGGGACAGTCACCTCCATGTCAATGCTGGTGCTGCAGACATGCCTCTCCAACACCAAGCTTTCAGGCTCTGTCCTCTGAGCTGTTCCTGATGTGCTATCACCGAGGCTTGCTGCGCTGAGGAGGGCTCTAGCAGCTGCTGCTGAGCTGCCTGTTTGCTTCCCTGCTCCCATCGCAGCTTTTTGGCCAGCTTTGCCCATGTGTGAAAGCCAACAAGCCCAAGAGCTGCAGGGGTAAGGGAAGGAAGAGCCAGAGTAGCATGCAGACGGCACAGCCAGTGTCACCTCTTGTGTTGCAGAAAAGCAATGGGGAAAGGAAAACTCTGCCCTATTTTCTCCCATGTAGCACTGCTGAAGGTAGTGTGGTGATGGAAGCATGCCTCAGTAGACGGTATCTCTGGAAACGGTTTCAAGAGTCAGAGCTGGTGCTGAGATGAAACCTGAGAGAGCCTTTATGCATGACTCATGTATGGATCAGCAATTGACAACAAAGAGATTTTCACACATAGCTGTGTCTTCTTTTGACTGCTTTTGCATCATATTTTATTTCAGATAGCACACTTTAAATAGCATTCCTCTCTGCAGTCTTCCAGCTTATCCCAGTAAACCATAGCTACTGGAGACAAGCACAGGATACTCCTTTTTTGAATAAAACAATTTTTGCACACATACCAGTTTAGGACTGAAAACTCCCTTGAAAACGTCAGTAAATCAGTTTATATATATAAAGACGAGCTCTAGGGTAAAGGAAGAACAGGACCTTGATTTTTCATAAAATATTTGTTCTGTCTATGGTATCAGTGCCTAAATTAAACTCTTTTCTTTGTGGAAGAACTGACTGAAAAGAATAGGTGGCCTGTAAAAATGTTTTCCTTTGAAAATTGACCACCACTGCTATGGATCAATTCTGTTTCTCCTGTTTCTGTTGGTAGTTTCAGGATTCATTTGTAGCTCTCTGTGCACTTTCAGTTTTGCTGCATAAATTGTTTGTTTTAAATAAGGCTCAGATACAGCCTAATTTACAACTAAATCAGCATGAGAGAGCTCTAAGGCAATCCTGTTCTCACTTGTTGTTCCCTCTTGTGATCAAGACTACTGGCATAATCAGCTGGTGAGCATGTGTTTTGGACATTGCTCCTTCTGGGCCAATCCACCGAGGTTATGATTTGTTACAGTCCCCTGCTAAAAATACTTCTTCGTAGTTCATGCTGTGGCAATTTACGTTTTCAGTTTGGTGGGACCAAAAGTTCAGCCCCGAGGTATCGATCAGGAGGGTAGCTATCACACAAGCTCATTCAAGCTTCAACCCCCTGTGGCTGTCAGGCATGTGGGAAGAGCCTCCTTTGAACAAAAATAATACCAAACCCTTTATAAAAAGACCCTTCTACTCAAGGCAGTTGCTGCATGGGTTTTTAGCTCCAGAAGTTCCCAGTTCAGCCCTCTGCTGTTGGCCAAGGCAGCGGCTTCCCACCAGGCACTACTGGGAGCAGAGGCTCATGCCACTTACATCTACTTTGGGCTTTTAAGGCACTGATAATCGTAGCAACTGCTCTTGCAAGTGGGATTTTCTTCTGAGAATGAGTATCTTGGCTGCT